TTTTGTAGACAGCATATATACAGGTCTTGTTTTTGTATCCATTCAGCCAGTCTATGTCTTTTGGTTGGAGCATTTAATCCATTTACATTTAATGTAATTATCAATATGTATGTTCCTATTACCATTTTCTTAATTGTTTTGGGTTTGTTTTTGTAGGTCTTTTCCTTCTCTTGTGTTTCCTGCCTAGAGACATTCCTTTAGCATCTGTTGTAAAGCTGGTTTGGTGGTGCTGAATTCTCTTAACTTTTGCTTGTCTGTAAAGGTTTTAATTTCTCCATCAAATCTGAATGAGATCCTTGCTGGGTAGAGTGGTCTGAGTTGTAGGTTTTTCCCTTTCATCACTTTAAATATGTCCTGCCACTCCCTTCTGGCTTGCAGAGTTTCAGCTGAAAGATCAGCTGTTAACCTTATGGGGATTCCCTTGTAAGTTATTTGTTGCTTTTCCCTTGATGCTTTTAATATTTTTTCTTTGTATTTAATTTTTGATACTTTGATTAACATGTGTCTCGGAGTGTTTCTCCTGTATGGGAATCTCTGTGCTTCCTAGACTTGATTGACTATTTCCTTTCCCATGTTAGGGAAGTTTTCAACTATAGTCTCCTCAAGTATTTCCTCAGACCCTTTCTTTCTTTTCTCTTTTTTTTGTGGTACATGGGCCTCTCACTGTTGTGGTCTCTCCCGTTGTGGAGCACAGGCTCTGGACGCACAGGCTCAGCGGCCATGGCTCACGGGCCTAGCTGCTCCATGGCATGTGGGAACTTCCTGGACTGGGGCACGAACCCGTGTCCCCTGCATCAGCAGGTGGACTCTCAAACACTGAGCCACCAGGGAAGCCCCAGACCCTTTCTTTTTCTCTTCTTCTGAGACCCCTATAATTTGAATGTTGGTGCATTTAGTGTTGTCCCAGAGGTCTTTGAGACTGTTCTCAATTCTTTTCATTCTTTTTCTTTATTCTGCTCTGCAGTAGTTATTTCCACTATTTTATCTTCCAGGTGACTTATCCGTTCTTCTGCCTCAGTTATTCTGCTATTGATTCCTTCTAGAGAATTTTTAATTTCAATTATCGTGTTGTTCATCATTTGCTTACTCTTTAGTTCTTCTAGGTCCTTATCAAATGTTTCTTGTATTTTCTCCATTCTATTTCCAAGATTTTGGATCATCTTTACTATCGTTACTCTGAATTCTTTTTCAGGTAGACTGCTTATTTCCTCTTCATTTGTTTGGGCTGGTTGATTTTTACCTTGCTCCTTCATCTGCTGCATGTTTCTCTGATTTCTCATTTTGTTTAACTTACTATGTTTGGGGTCTCCTTTTTGCAGGCTGCAGGTTTGTAGTTCCCATTGTTTTTGGTATCTGCCCCCAGTGGGTGAGGTTGGTTCAGTGGTTTGTGTAGGCTTCCTGGTGGAGGAGGCTGGTGCCTGTGATCTGGTGAGTGAGGCTGGATCTTGTCTTTCTGATGGGCAGAACCATGTCTGGTGGTGTTTTTTGGGGTGTCTGTGAACTTAGTATGATTTTAGGCAGCCTCTCTGCTAATGGGTGGGGTTGTGTTCCTGTCTTGCTAGTTGTTTGGCATGGGGCATCTAGCACTGGAGTTTGCTGGCCACTGGGTGGAGCTGGGTCTTAGTGTTGAGACAGAGATCTCTGGGAGAGCTCTCGCCAATTGATATTACGTGGAACCAGGAAGTCTCTGGTGGTCCAATGTCCTGAACTCGGCTCTCCCACCTCAGAGGCTCAGGCCAGAGCATCAAGACCCTGTCTGCCACATGGCTTTCCTGGGCTTTGGTTTGCTCATTTTAGTTTTTGGTCAAGCTCCAGTTGACATTTGGTTTGGCACACCATCAAGATTCTGAATGTTTCCAGTTTTATTTCTCCAATTTCCTTCCTTCTGATGATTTTTCTAAAAGCTTACTCTTCAGGTTTTTAGAAATCTCATTTTTTTCTTCTCAGTAATTCTGTGAGGTTGGTCCTGTTGGTCAAATTTTATAAAAGAATTCCTAAAGAGAATAAGTTGCTTGACTAGGATCACACAACAAATAAGAATACTAGGATCTCTTGATTCTTCTCAGTAACTTCTCTCTTCCCCCATATTTCTCTTTGTATCCTGGCCCAGCCCCACTTCCACAACCTCTCCAGTCTAAATCTCAGCAAGGGTCTATTGCATCATAGACTTTGTTCAGCTGGTTAATGGGTTTGGGCTCCTTTTAGCCCTATTGAAGACAGATACCACATATACCGTTAATTTCCCACATAGATTTCCAGAAACCTGACTCCCAGCCAGAAACCCAAACCCTGTGGGTGGAAAGGAAAAAACAAAAAAATCCCCCAAAAACCTACTACACCACCATTTCCACCTTGCAGGGCCAGCAAACATGCCCCCCAAATCTTAACTAGTTCTAGCATCAACTCTAAATTCCAAAGTCTCATCTAAATATCATTTATATCAGATATTGGTGAGACTTGAAATACAGTTTACCCTGCAACAGATCTCTCTCCAGCTGAGAACCTATATAACCAAACAAGTTATGTGCTTCCAAAATATAGTGGTGGAATAGGCATGAGGTAGACATTCTCATCCCAGAATGAAACAATTCCCATTCTAAAGGGAAGGGAGAAAGGAGTGATAGGTACCGAGTAAGTCCAAAGCTTACTGGGGCAAATGTCTTTGGACCTTAAGCCTCAAGTATAATCCTCTGTGGTTCAGTGCTCTGCCCTCCAGGCCCACTGGGGAGCAGTCTTGCCTCTGCTGCTCTCCTGGATTGGGATCTCATGACGGTGGCTCTCAGACTGGCACTGTTAGCTGGTGGCTCTGTTGGTGTTGTGTCCAGGTGCTACGGCTCTGGGAATCCCTGGCCCCATGTGTCTGCCAAGCACAACACAGCTCTCTGCCGGGGCCCCGCCGTGAGGCATGGAGTGGGAACATCGTGGTGTGCCTGACCCAGATAGGTGGCCCCACCCATTGGAGTCATGTTGCTCTCCCTTGGCCCTTGCTCTCTGGGCCTGTGGTGGAGGTGGCAGCCATGAGGGCCCCTGATCACCTTAAGGGGGATCATTTTTGAGATGGCAGATGAGGTTTCTGGGTCATATGCATGCTAATCTTATCAAAGTCTTAGTGTTCCCTTCTGAAAACACCTTCTCATTCTTTTCAAAATGGATAGGCTGAGAATTTTTCAGATCTTTAAGTTCTGGTTCCTTTTTGCTTAATAATCCCGTCCTCAAGTCATCTCTCTAATTGTATCTTACTCTAAGCAGTCAGGAGGAACCAAGCTGCTCTGCAGCACGGTTTAGAATTTTCTCAGCTAAATATCAAATTTCATTGCTCACACATTTTACCTTCTATAAAACACTAGAACATGAACAAAATTCAGCCAAGTTCTTTTCCACTTTATAAAAAGGATCTTCAGTGTTCCTTGTCTAATAACACGTTCCTCATTTCTTTCTCAGACTTCATCAGAATAGAATAGCATTTACCATCCATATTTCTATGCACATTTTGTTCATGATTCATTATCATCTAAGAAGATGGAAGCTTTCTCTATAACTCCCCTCTTTTGTTCCTAAGCTCTTACCAGAATTAGCATTCTTGACAATATTGGCTTTTGCAAATATGCACCTCAAAACTCTTGGTAGCCTCTGACCATTACCCAGATCCAAAGCCACTTCTAATTCTTCAGGTTTTTCTTGCAAGCAGCATCCCACTTCTCAAACCAATTTCTGTTTTAGTCCAGTCAGGTTTCTATAACAAACTACCATAGGCTGGTACTTACACAACAAACATTTATGTCACAGGTCTGGAGGCTGGGCAGTCCTCGATCAAGGCACTGGCAGTTTCAGTGTCTGGTGAGGCCCACTTCCTTGTTCATAAATGGTCTCCTTGTTGCTGTGTCCTCACATGGCAGAAGGGGAATGAGAAGGCTTTCTGGGGTCACTTGTACAAGGGCACTAATCCCATTGGTGAGGGCTTCACCCTCATGATCTAATCACCTGCCAGAGTCCCCCACCTCTTACTACCATCACATTGAGGGTTAAGATTTCAACATATGGTGTTTGCAGGAACATAAACATTTGAGTTTGTAGCATAAATCCAGCTACAGCAGTATGGATTCCATGGGAGCCTAGGCCTGGGGGAGGCACGATGTCTGATCTGTGCTCAGATCATACAGAAACCTATTCTGTTTGTGTAGTATTTTGGTGCTGTTGACAAAGGCAGCCTAATGCCTTTCCTTTCCCATTCTTGACACTGCCAACTTGTCAGGTCTGCTATTTGTCACTTCTGCTCTTCCAGCTCAGGGCTGTTCACCACATCTGTGGGCTACACATCTCACTCGCTGTTCTCATTGCTCCACCTGTAGTACTCTCTGACATTGGCCTCTCCTCTACATGTGCATTGTAACATGCACACATATTCTTTCTTTCTTTATTTTCTTTTAAGACTTTTTTGATGTGGACCATTTTCAGAGTCTTTATTGAATTTGCTACAGTATTGCTTCTGTTTTATGTACTGGCCCTGTGGCCCCAAGGCATGTGGGATCCCAGCTCCTCGATCAAGGATCGACCCCGCATCCCCCGCACTGGAATGCAGAGTCCCAACCACTGGACCGCCAGGGAAGTCCCACACACATATTCTTAAACAGTCATTGAACACCAGCTACTCTGTTGTAGTTGCATTTTCTTGGGCCTGAACACACTCTTCTACGTAACACACCGATGTCAGCAGAAGACCAGATCTCCAGAGAGAGTTGTTTCCAAGGGAAGGAGTTGTAGACCCTTTCCTCCCTGTGCTGCACCCAGTGGTGCTGTATTTAACCTCGTGAGTCCTCCCCTGTTCTGTGATCTTCAGAGGCCCAGTTCTGCTAATCAACCCATTCTCAACCTGTACCCAACTCTTTGGTCCCCAGAACAATCCCACTGATCATTCCTGGGTTTGTCCCCCACACACTTTTCTACAGGTTACCCTTCTCACCGGAATCAACATGCACTTCACCAGCATTTCTTTCTTTCAGGTTGTTGGTGTGGAGTGGAGAATAAGGAGGCATCTTCTGAGCACAGCATTTCTGCAAAGTAATGCCACAGGATAGGACTCTTAAAGCAGGTCTGTCTCCCCAGAAGGCCCACCTCTGTGAGATGTGTGGACCCATGTTGAGAGAGAGTTTGCACTTGGTTGAACACAGAATCCATGAAAAATGAGGATTGACTGATTGTCTTGCCATAAATTGTGCATACTTAAAGATATACTCAGGCTGAAACTTGTGCTTTTTTACCATTTTATAGACTAACCAAGATTTTGTGAGGACTTTGGTGGAGTCTGGGATGTTTCATTCAGCCAGGTGCATATGATCAGGGGCAAATTCAGTCATCTGTGAGTCACAAGATCTGGGGTGGGTTATCAGTGGGGCTGGGCTTTGAATGATGGTTGGATGGACAGAGGAAGGGTGTGATTTCTGAGGGCACAGCAAGTGCAGGAAAAGCAGATAGGACCATGGGTAGCTGAGATCCACACATGGTTCTCTGTGACTGCGTCTGAGCCAAGGAGTTGAATGAGACCTGCATGGAGTGATTTGGGGCTGTGGTTGCTAACAGGAACCATGGGAAGTCTGTAGTCATACTGGATCCTCTCTGAATTTGTCAAGGATATTCTGGATGCTGTCTGCCAAGTTGCGTTGTAAGTTCTAAAATTAAGGCCAATAGGTATGCTGCCTTGACATCTGGTGAAACAAGTATGCCCTCAAATGGCCGTGGTGCAAGTTTCCCTTCACATGCTTCTCACAGGTAATGTCTCCTAACCTTACAACCCTTTTTATCAAAGGGAGCAGGCACAGTTCCTGCTTATCCCTTTGTAGTTAGTTTCAGTTCCCTACCAGCCTGCAGAGTCATTTAAACAAGCCAGTCATGTCCTCTTGCGGGAAGCAGGGCACAATACCCTCTCGATCCCACAGAGACTGCATCCCACAGCCCTTTGTTGTTCACTCCGCCAGTGTGTGGCCTTCCCATGGCCTTGTGTGTTGTCTCCCACATGTTAATATGTGGTTAATAAATGGCTGTTGATTGCGTCTGGCCAGTGTCAGGGGTCGTGTGTTTGCCCACACCCTTAGGGTAGGAATTATACCCTCACCAGTGGGGTTATGAGGAGGTGACTGAAACACGAGTAACAAGACGCCTACAGTAAGGGGCACTGATGCTGGTGGCCGTAGGTATGGGGCTCTGAGAGATGTGCGTTCAGATAGGGGGCACGTCTGATGGTCTAGGGCACTGCACTGGAAACCACATGACTGTGGCCACACCCGGGTAATAGCCTGTGGAGGTGGTACATCCTTCTGTGCTTGTCCCAGAGCTGAGCTGTTGATTGCCCATGTGCCTCCTGCCACTGATGGCTTTGCCCAGTGATCAATGGACCCCTGAGGAGACAGAGGCACCAGTGGACCAGGGCCTGGTTTCTTCTCTGAGTTGGGGAGGTTGGGAGGAGGATGGGCATATGGTGGATGTGGGGGTGGGTGGGTTGGTGGAGAATGGATTGTGGCTCCTTGAGAGTGGGGCTGTTTGTGGTTTCATCTGTCCCCATCATAGCAGGATGGCGTGACCTTTGAAGATGTGGCTGTGACATTTTCCGGGGAGGAATGGGGTCTCCTTGATGAGTCTTGGAGATGCCTGTATTGTGATGTGAAGCTGGAGAACTTGGCACTTACAGCCTCGCTGGGTAAGAACCTCAGATCCACCCCTGTGTCCTTCCTCTTTCCCCAGTGACAGCTCTGTCCTCTCATCAGGACCACAGATACTGCTTCCTTTCCATTTCCCTCGGTTGGTGCTGTGGTTGGTTGAGATGATGTGTGAGCACTGCCTTCTGCTCTCCTTGAGCAACCCCAACACCTGCTTCCTGTGGTGTCACGTGGAAGGTGTCAGAGGCAGAGGTTTTTCAGTCACCTTAGTGGACCCCCCTTTGTTTGGCCTTGCCCTGGCCAGGTAACTGTCCAGATCCAAGGCACCTGTGTACACCAGGTTCTAATTTTTTCCTCTAGCTGACATTTCCTCATGCCTGCCTGTGCCAGGAATTGTCATCGCTGACATGGTCACTACTCATGTGGACCGTGGTCTGTTCTTGAAGACCCGCCTCTGAAATTCTCTTTTTATTTTATTTTATTAATTTATTTATTTGGCTGCGTTGGGTCTTCGTTGCTGTGCGCAGGCCTCCTCTAGTTGTGGCGAGCAGGGGCTACTCTTTGTTGCTGTGTGTGGGCTTCTCATTGCGGTGGCTTCTCTTCTTGCAGAACACAGGCTCTAGGTGCGCAGGCTTCAGTAGTTGTTGCTTGCATGCTCTAGAGCACAGGCTCAGTAGCTGTGGCACACGGGCTTAGTTGCTCCATGGCATATGGGATCTTCCTGGGCCAGGGCTCGAACCCATGTCCCCTGCATTGGCAGGCAGATTCTTAACCACTGTGCCACAGGGAAGTCCCTCTTTTTTAAATTTTAAATGTAATGTTAATTTTATCGAAGTGTAGTTGATTTACAATATTGTGTTAGTTTTAGGTGTACAGCAAAGTGATTTAGTTATATATATATTTTTTGTTTGTTTTTCTCAGATTATTTTCCATTGTAGGTTATTACAAGATATTGAATATAGTTCCCTGTGCTCTACAGTAGGTCCTGTTGCTTATCTATTTTATATATAGCATTGTGTATCTGTTAATCCCATACTTCTAGTTCACCCTTCCCCCACTTCCCATTTGTCAACCATAAGTTTTTTTTTCTAAGTCTGTGAGTCTCTTTCTGTTTCTTGAATAGATTCATTTTTATTATTTGTTAGATTCCACATGTAAGTGATACATAATATTTGTCTTTCTCTGATTTCATTTAGTATGATATTCTCTAGGTCCATCCATTTTGCTGCAAATGGCATTATTTCATTTTTTTATGGCTGAGTAATATTCTATAGTGAGTATGTGTTGTGGATATGTGTGTGTGTGCATCACATCTCCTTTATCCATTCATCTGCTAATGGACACTTAAGTTGCTTCCATGTCCTGGCTATTGTAAATAGTGCTGCTATGAACACTGGGGTATATGTGTCTTTTCGAATTATGTTGTTCTTCAGATATATGCCCAGGAGTGGGATTGCTAGATCATATGGTAGCTCAATTTTTAGGTTTTTTGAGGAACCTCCATACGGTTTTCCATGGTGGCTGCACTAACTTACATTCCCACCAGCAGTAGGAGGGCTCCCTTTTATCCGCACCCTCTCCAGCATTTGTTATTTGTGGACTTTTAAAAAATATTTTATTTAATTTTTTATTTATTCTTGGCTGCTTTGGGTCTTCATTGCTGCGCGTGGGCTTTCTCTAGTTGTGGTGAGTGGGGGCTACTCTTTGTTGCGGTGCACAGGCTTCTCATTGCCGTGGCTTCTCTTGTTGCAGAGCATGGGCTGTAGGCGTGTGGGCTTCAGTAGTTGTAGCGCACGGGCTTCAGTAGTTGTGGCCTGCGGGGTCTAGAGCGCAGGCTCAGTGGTTGTGGTGCACGGGCTTAGTTGCTCCGCGGCATGTGGGATCTTCCCAGACCAGGGCTCGAACCCGTGTCCCGTGCATTGGCAGGCGGATTCTTTACCACTGTGCCACCAGAGAAGTCCCTAAAAATTTTCAGTTCTTAAGGATACACTCCAGAGGTGTTTCTTCTGGTTTAGAAGGGGATCCTCCCATGTTGAGCAACCTACAACCAAGCATTCCTAGAAATGGAATCCGGCTTCCCAGAAACATTTACCAGGAGGCTTTAACTTGAAGGGGTCAGAGCATCCTCCGAATTCCTTTCGAACCTAATGGGGTTTTCAGTGTCTTCTGCTCTCCCATCGCCCAACCAGATGCCTGTGGCCAGCTCAGTCCCTTTCATGAGGGTCCCCAGGGGTTGGGGGTGGGGACGTTTGAACCAGTGCCAGTGCGTTGCTAGGACTCTCCCTGAGGGGCATCTGTTGTGTATAAAGCCTATGTCCTATAACAAGTTTCCCTACACTGGGGTGTATTCCTCATGCTTGAACATCTACAGAGTTTATAATATGGGCTTCTGGGCAGCGGCCAGCCCGATAGGCTGTCCATAGCAGTGTATGGGCTGCCAAGGCCTGGAGTGAAGGGGGTCCGATAGATTCAAAGAGGAATCCTTGGAGAAAGTGGAGCTGGGCAAGGGGTTCAAGACCCGAGGCCGGGAAACAGAAATTCTTTAGATTTTTGTAAGTTGGGTGAGGTGAGAGACTAGAGAGCAGAAGAACCCCAAATCCTTTCCCCTGTCTGTTTTGTGGCTATGAAAAAACTGGGGAGAGCCTGATGATTCCATCTGCCACAGGCAACAGCGAGCTTGGACAATGTTTTCCATGTAATTTAACACACCAAGTGAACCCAGCTAGTTTAGGATCTCTCTTTGGGATGCTCCAGGGGCCCTTTGAAGCACCCCAAAGTTAGCTGGAGTTCAAAGAATCTGATATTTGGAAAGTTTGTTCAAAGTTTTCAAAAGTTTTAAAACACCTCATCAGAGAGGATCATACCCAAAAGATTAAAAGCAGGGCCTGGGACAGAAATGGGTACACCCACATTCCAAGCAGCGTGAATCACAATACCAAGAGGCAGATGCCACCCAAGTGTCCATCGTCGGATGAATGGGTAAACTACATGTGATATCCACACAAAGGAATGTCATTTCAGCCTTAACAACAAAGGAAATTCTGACAACTCCTACAGCATATACGAACCTCAAAGGCATTATGATCAGTGAAATAGCCCTGTCACTTTAAAAGGACACACATGATGAGTTACTACATATAGGAGGTATCCAGAGAAGCACAATTCAAAGGCAGAAAGTAGAATGTGGGTGCCAGGGACTGAGGGGAATTAGTGTTCAATCAAAGTACAGCGTTTCACTGGTGAAATTGGAAAAGATCTGGACGTGGATGGTGAGGTTATTTGTACAACAACGTGCCTGTGGTTAATGCCATAGGACTGTGTACTTTAAATGGTTCAGATGCTAAATGTGATGCCCATTTAGTCACAACAAACAATGAATGAAGTACCGATCTGTGTAACCACACAGAAAAGGCCACCCAAATCATACTTGTGTTGTGTGCTCTCAATCCATCAAGGTTGTGAAAAGGAGGGAAAGGATCTGTTAGTGTTTCAGAAAAAGAAACCTGGATCAGAATGGAAAAAGACATTTCCCTAGCGTTGGGGCACCTGGTGAAAGTGGACGTGGGCCTGTGGATTGGATTATAATGTGGAAA